ATGAGTGCTAAACATTCACTAGATATCTGGAAGTGGCTTATGTCACATAAAAGCTCAAATATACTTCAGAAATTAATAGGGAAATGGCAGGGAAACAGAATAAACCACCATATTACAAGAAAGGAGATTATAACTCAATATCAGGAAGAACTTTCTGACAGTAAGAGCTGTTCAACAGTGTAATAGACTCTCAAGTAAGGCAGTGGACTCTACTTCATTGGAGGTCCCTTCTAGCTCTAGAATTCTGAATCTATGTGAATGCAGCCATAGATATTATTAAAATAGGAAATGGAGAAAATGTTATTTTTGTAGTTGCCTTGCTAATTTTGGAACACAATGGGGTAGAGAGCCAGGGAAGAAATAATCTACAGTAGTCAAGAAAAGCACAAACTATTGTTTCTGCTACAAATGCAACAGCAATGGCTAGATCTAAGAAAGGCAGAAAAAGAAGCCGCCACACTTGTGAAAACACGGTTTTAGAAAACCATAAACATAAAGGGAAAGCACAAAAGGGAGGAAAACAACATCAGGAAAGTATTGATTCACCTGTACTGTGCCAGAGGGGTTGTTTGCAAGCAGAAAAAAAGAGAGATGTACAGATTGCACAGTCAAGGCAGTAGCTCCCCAGAGAATACAGTAGATCTCAGCCACCAATCATAATTCAAAGAGTAGATTATTAAAGAAACAATTGCTACACAGGCAGCACATTATTGTGTGAGATATAATTCATGGACAGGCAAATAACTCATTGCTGAGAACTCCTTTATACAGACTTAGCTAATATGACACATAAACAAGAAGGGGGAAATTATGGGTGTTTCAATATCGCTCAGTGGCTTAAGCTCCATTCAATCAATACAGCCTGTTTCTCTCTTTTTGGGGGGAGGGGAAGCAATTTCACTCAAGCAAGTCTTCATACCTCAGGCATGTTTTAATGTTCAGTTCAGGAACATTATACACATAGAAAGGGAATGGCACAGAAACAGTGCCTGCAAGTATTTTATTAGCCACAGAGTAGCAGAGTGAAAAAGATTTAGCAAGGCTAAGCACTGCTTACCTTCCAGTTCTACAGATCATATTGTTGACTTTCTAAGGATCCAAAGGACCACTGATGAACCAACTGACTGGGAAAGAGCAAAACCAGACTGGATTTAAAAAGAAATGAGAAGAAAGCCAAATCATTGGGGTTTTTGAACATTTTCAGCAATACCAAAGAACCCCTCCTATTTGGGTGATTTTTCAGAAATTACTTGAAAGATTTGTTTGCTTTATATATTGACATCAACACCACCAGTTGTCCACCAGTTGTTTACTATTATTATTCAGTTCTGAACTATGCCTTCAGATTGAGAAAGCGTGGGATGTTCAGTTTGCCATTTTTCTCTTCTTGATATGTAACTTAAAGTACAATTTTTGCAAGTATAAAACTGAAGAGAGAGAGAGACAGAGAGAGAGAGAGAAAATGTTGCTATTTCATACATGTTGGTCTAACTCTGGCAATCTAAATTACTGCAAAAGTTTGCATGTAGTCTCTTAAAACTGTATTCATGACACCCCATCAAACAACAGATTCTCTGTCAAATTCGCCACACTCCAGCTAGAGGCTGTACAGGAGCACATTTTTGTAGCACCAGCTGATGTGGTGGGACAGAGTCATGAAGCCACCCTCCTAACATCAGAATCCCTGCAACTTACCTGGGTGGCAGTGGTTCAGGCAGGGCAACTACAAAGTCAGAGCTTTCAAGGCTTATGGGATCAGGGGGGGTCCAAGCAGAGGTGGTTTTAAGGCAGTGTGGCCATTGCAGTTGCACTGGGCACCACGCTGCAGGTGGCACCACAACAATGCTGTAGAATGGAGTGTGAGAGGAGGGCAAGTGCTGAATTTGAGAACCAAACAGGGAACCATTGAAATCTCAGAGCCCAAAGTCTGCCACTGGTGCATGCCACACCAGTCACTACTGGATTTGGGTATATCCTTAACTGGATGGGAAATAACAACAACAATAATTTATTTATACCCCACCCATCTGGCTGGGTTTCCCCAGCCACTCTGGGCAGTTTCCAGCAAAATATTAAAATACAATAATTCATCAAATATTAAAAGCTTCCCTAAACAGGGCTGCCTTCAGACGTCTTCTAAAAGTCAGATAGTTGTTTATTTCCTTGACATCTGATGAGAGGGCGGGCCACTACTGAGAAGGCCCTCTGCCTAGTTCCCTGTAACCTCACATCTCGCAGTGAGGGAACCGCCAGAAGGCCCTCAGAGCTGGACCTCAGTGTAGATCATTCTACAGCCTGATTTTGCTGCTGCTGCTGCTGCAAATAACCCTCACTAAGTAATCTAACTAGGTGGCCAGGTGGCTGAGAAGTCTAGCAAACTGGGTTGAGTAATCTCAATATCCTTAGACCTATATGCCATAAGAAGCTCCCATTACAGGATTTTAGACAGGATTTTCCCCCAGCCCTATCCAATCCATTACCTCTGCTGAGAAACCAGCTGCCTTTATTCCTCCCTCGGCTGTTACCTGGTAAGCAGGTAACAGTATCAGGCTACCCAAACCATTTTCATCACAGCTGGTCATGATGATAACTATAACTTTTTAAAAAGCTAGTTTCCTTTTCCTGCTGTTCCTTCCTATTTCTTTTTTCTTGTGTGTCTCATATGTTTTAGATTATAACCCTCACTGCAGAAATTGCTGTAACTACTTAATTGCCTGACTACTTAATTTAGTCAGCGTCTCTAAGAGCCTTCTTGGCTGTTGTTGTTTTTTGGTAAGAATAGAGTAAAAAAGATTTATTACATGCATATATAAATAGTATACATGGATTTGCCAAGAATTGAACTTGTGACATTCAGTATGTGAGCAGTTGGTTGGTATGATTCATTGCATTTTTATGTTTGTTTTGGAAATTTGGAAATTAATGTGACAGGAGCATTAAACAATAAACAAAAACACCTCACAGATACAGGTACAAGGTGAATGTTGTGACCTGTGCAGACCTCTAGTATATGTAGTTCCTGAAAATGTACTTGTTTACTTCTCAGATGAGGATGAGGAAGCTGAAACCATTTCTGGGAAATAACTTCAGGTTTCTCTGTAAAAGATAAACAGAGGTAGATTTGGGACAAGAACCCTGCAGAGTGAAGAGTGAAGGCATTTGTTGTTGTTGATTTTGTATACCCTCAAGTTTTTATATTTAACTTTCCTCAGCAAATTCAAAATGCATTTGTGGTACTTTACAGAGACCAGGACAAGAGCAGCAAAGTTGTCAAATTTCATCTCTGGGACTCCTTTCACTCTGAATCCATGCAATGTCCTCTTTCTGTTAATCAGAACCAAGAAAGAAAATACGAGAGCAAACTACAGCTGTTTCACAATCAATTGGATATTGAATAATAGGTCGTTTGTGGTTACTTTTTTGTTAGGAGAACATTACTGCTGGGCATGCTTTACAACTGCATCTAAATTCAGAGAAGAAAAATCTCTAGCATTCAGCACCGATGCATGCCTTTCATTAATTTTATGTTACTATATAGAAAATATGTCATGGTGCTTTACTTTTGCTTTTATGTGTGTGAGGCACTGTACCACATTGGAGTGAGGCTACAGAACACAGAAGCTGAAAGTGATAAAACTCCAGTAAACAGAAAACATTTCCCCACAACACACACACACTTTTTGCTTCTTTGTAAGCATGCTAACAGATCCAAAAGCATGGTTGAAAAGTTCAGTTTCCAGAATTATTGGCTTCCCAATGTACACTCCAAGGGAACGCGGGTGGCACTGTGGGTTAAACCACAGAGCCTAGGACTTGCCGATCAGAAGGTCAGTGGTTCAAATCCCCGTGATGGGGTGAGCTCCCGATGCTCGGTCCCATCTCCTGCCAACCTAGTAGTTTGAAAGTACGTCAAAGTGCAAGTAGATAAATAGGTACCGCTCCTGCGGGAAGGTAAACGGTGTTTCCATGTGCTGCTCTGGTTCACCAGAAGCGGCTTAGTCATGCTGACCACATGACCCGGAAGCTGTACGCCGGCTCCCCCGGCCAATAAAGCGAGATGAGCGCCACAACCCCAGAGTCGGTCACGACTGGACCTAATGGTCAGGGGTCCCTTTACCCAATGTACACTCCAGATTTTGAAAGTAAAATGCATATTATGATTATTGGTTGCCACAAACATTTGGTCTGAAATTGGAAGGACGAATTCCTTCTCAGGGAAAACATTTGAGGCATTTCAAGGGAAGCCAAAATAATCTGAGTAGGACTGCTGAACTTTCTCATTGGGTCACCACACATCTCTAGGTTGCTACCAGATTTCACCTAAAGCAAAATGTGAAGCAAATATGAAGGTTCCTTCCTTTACAGATACCAATAGATACCAAATCTATTATGGTAAAAACCTCTGTGGAACAGAGACCTCTTCATCAGATGCACAGAGCATCATTCTCAGTTGCAAATATATATGGGTGGTGCTGGTGATATTGGGGGGTTGGGTAAGGCACTTGTAATCTGTGGGAGTCAGAGGAAAATGTAGCACAGATAGTGACAATTCAATTAAAGCTGGAAGGTAGGCAAGATAAGCATGGGTACTCTTTTCAGTGTCATTGATACGTGATGAAACAATAGACTTGGAGTTAATTAACATATGTAGTAGGAAAGGAAACCTTTCTATATATTCAGATGCAAATGTACATAATTGAACTTCTTGGTTAACTGTAATTCAGTAGTTTCATCTCTTTTTGAAATGTCTTTGTTCAAGCACAGCCACCTTAAAATCAATGGCAGAGTGTCCTGGTGTCCTGCTGCTAGGAAAAGTGCCACAAAAGGCAACCTAACCTGGGGAACAGTGGCTGCCAGAAAAAAACACTGGTGGCAAGCATGGGAGGGGATGTGCTTATTTGCTTAGGAAATGTAGCCAGATTGAAGCTTATTCTGAGTCAGACCATTGGCTCATTTCCCTCTGAAATGCCCACACTGAGGGACTCTCTCCCAACCCCAACTGGAGACACCAGGGATTGAATTTGGGACCTTCTGCATGCAAAGCAAGATGCTCAGCCACTGAGCTATGGGCCTTCCTCCTTCTTTGTGAAACTGGAGTCATTAAGACAGTTTTGTTTGACCCAAAGTACAGGGTAGCTCTATTGCACAGTTGGTGGTGCCAAGATGCTGTTGTTGATGCAGCAGTCAAAAACGAATCAGGATCTGGGAGCCAGGGGTTGGGAGCCAGGAGGCAGAGCTAAGGAACAAGGAGAAATCAGAACCAAGGTGAAGGCAGAAGTCAGAGGCGTGAGAGGAACATGAGTTTCCACCAAGGGAGAAAGCCAGAAATCAAAAGCAAGGGCAAAGCTGAAATCAAGACTGATGTGCAAAGTCAAGAACATGCAAGAGTCAGGAAAATGGCGTAGCTCCCACAAAGTCTAACTCAAACAGAAAACCTTTAAGTGGTCCTTTCTGTTTAACAGAATTCAGTGGCCAGCTTAGGTGGGAGGAGCCAGTCCATGACTTGAGGTACCTGACTGTCTAGGCCAAGCTTCCTCAAACTCGGTCCTCCAGATGTTTTGAGACTATCATTCCCATCATCCCTGACCACTGGTCCTGCTAGCTAGGGATCATGGGAGTTGTAGGCCAAAAACATCTGGAGGGCCGAATTTGAGGGAGCCTGCTCTAGGCAGATGTTCCAAGCCACATTATTATAGCTCTTCACATGGGACAGCTGTGTGCACAGCCATTTTAAGAGAAAGTAAAGCTGTTTCAATAAGCCTTGTTTCACAGAGCTCTAAAATTAACATTATAAACAAACAAACAAACAAAAACAAGACACCTTAAAACCAAAAAATTAGGGGACTGGAAATGAAAGTGTACAGTTTGAGCACTGGTAGCTCCTGACATGATGACACAAGGCCCAGAATAAGCCCTCAGGTGCCTTCTAGGACTTAGGAAGGAGACGGAGGAACTGTAGAGGCTGCTGGCAGCTATGGAAACTGAGCATTCTGTGGCCAAGGAGAACAGCTTCAAGACTTTCCAAAAATGTGCAGAGGAAGAGAGCAGAGAGGAGGAGAAAGAAAGTCACTGAGAAGGAACTGGGGAAACAGGCAAGCAGTGTCTTTTTCAAGTGCCACATGGATTCCCTAACAGTCCTTAGAGGGCGCTCCTGCCTCAGACATGCCACCAGGGTGCAACAGTAGAGATGTGCCTTATACTGGTTAACTAGGGAATTTGGAAGTAACATTTACAAGTCCTGTAATGTTTAGGAATGGGGAATACATTAATTTGGTTGACATTTTGGTATGTATCTAATTCAAACTTTGCAAAACAATAAGCATGTCATAATCCCTGACCCAGAGATCATGCACTATATAGTGGAGATGCCAGAGGAGGAGGAAGCTCTGGCTCTTCCCTTGTGGGAAGAATTGCCAGGACCATTTGCAAAATCAACCCAACCAGAAGTCTGAGTCTTCACACACAAACACCCCCCCCCCCGACTCAGAGCTTAAGTCTCCCATAGTACCCCTGTCTCCAAGTCTACAGAATCTTGCTCCTTCCCCTCTCCTGGCACAGCTGGTGAGAGGAAGAGTGACCTATTAACATGCAATTTGACAGACTTTATGCACTCTTGGGAGTCTATCATTTCTGAAAATTTTATCCACTTCTGTTAACAGGAAAACAGTTCTAAGCAGGGAAATGAATTTTGCAATTGTGAAACAGGGCAGGGGAATGAAGTGGAAATGGATGGGCAAATTGAATCAAGCCACATGTGAATCTCCTTAGTTCAAGGTGAGCTTTTTCAGAAAGCAAAGTATCTGGATGTAAGCTAAATTTTGTGGTCTGCGCCAGTGGCGGAACTAGCTGCTTGGACACACAGAGCGGCACACATGCCATGCACCCGGGGGTGGGGTGAGCCACCCAGGGGGGCAATCGGCACCCATTGGGGGCAATAGGTGCAGCGATCAGTGCCCATTGGGGGCGATCAGTGTGTGATTGGCGCCCAGGGGGGAGCGTGGTGATCCGCTCTGGGGGATTTTGTGACCCACCTCATGGATGACACCTGGGGTGAGCCACCCCCACTGCCCCCCTTCCTACACCTCTGGTCTGTGCACACCCCTACTTTATGGGGTGAATATAGAAATTGCACTTAGCTGGTAGTAGCACTGACATGAAATGCAGGATGTGTTTTCTTAAGAAAGCACAAGTAGAAATCCTCCCTCCCCCGCCTCCCCCGGCCTTTTACTAAAGGCAGATTGCAGAGCTTGAGCCCACTCCATGCTGATCCTGAAATTGCTCACATGTGACTTGTAGACCACAGGCAGAAGACCAGTGGAGTGTGCTTATTCAATGCCCAACAGACTTTTTATAAGCTCTGTGTAGAACAGATACATATGACCTCAAATAACACTGCCTTCATGTTTGAACTTTAGACAAATCTTTCCATTTTCTCTGTTCTCTAAGCCATTGAAATCCCACTTTTTAAATAGCCTTTCGGTAATGCTCCTGCCAGTAGCCAAGCATGTGAGAGAAATCCTACAATTGTTTAATGGTAATCATTACATAATTTAATTAAGAATGAAGCTTTGCATCTCAGTGAGCCACGATTTGTTCAGACTAATGTGAAAGCCCAGGCGGAGTATTACTGATCCAGGTGGGGATTTTGAAGCTTTTTGTTGCTAGGTTGGATGCTATGGAAAATAGAAAGAGATCAATGTGTAATGTACAGCACACAAATAATTTAATGAATGAAAGGCCCTAGGTATCCTGTGGGATCATAAGAGCGGGAGCTTGTGCTGTGGTTAATTCTAGTATATGGCAGGACATAAGGATTTAATCGGGAAATACAGGCTCTGGCTGTTTGGCAGTTTGTTTTAGGACTAAACACAAACAGAACTCTTCCAGCTTCCTGATTTGCAAGCAATGACTCCCATCCACACACACACATAAACACATTTTTAGACCTCCTTATTTTAGTTCACTGCTAGTTAGAGAGAAATGACTCAATGTCAGTTTCTCTCACTTTCTCATTTTTCTAATCTTAAATTCAGCTCACCACATCAGCTTAAAAATATTTTCTTTTTTTAAAAAAAGGTCTCACAAAGTGAGCAGCAGTTTAGTGTACATTTCTCCTCATATGCACATTTTTTCGTGCAGTTTTGCCTAGCGTGCACATTTGCTACAAGCAATTTCCCCAAACAGAATGCATTTTGCATGTTATTCACACACACACAACATACACATTTTACTCGCAACTGACACGTTTTTGTATATTTATTTGCGTAGTTGGGAAACTGCATTGCAGACTTCAGAGAAGTATGAATTTCAAGGGATAAAAGCCTTTCAAACTGTTAAAAGTAAAGTAGATAAAACAACTGAAATGCCATTGAACAGAAAACACATCATCATGATCACTAGAAGTAATTGGGTACTTCTTGTGCTCCATTGCTGTATTTTATTCGAGCATGGAGAATAAAAATCCATATTTCTTCTGTTTAGCACTAATAGCACACTGGCTGTTCATACAGGACACTTGAGAGATTGCTTTGGATGGTGGGAATTAAAGTTGTCAAATATGGATGTCCAGGTAATAAAATAGACCATTTCCCATGTCGATGTGGTGCTTGCCCTGCTTTTGCCTACTGACCTGGAACATCATTTGCAGTTGCAGAGATGACATGCTCCCTGGGTAAACTGCCATGTGCACACTGAAGAATACCAATCTCTCAATCCTGAATTTGCTTTGTTCTTTGTACTGACAAATTCAGCCAACAACTACCTACCAAATGATTGTTACTGTTTCTTGTTTTCAAGCATTCAGTTCCAGAGCGCTTCTGAACATGAACAGAGTGGCTTTCCCTTGAGGCAAAATGATTATTTTTATTTTTATTTTGCATTGGGGAGGGAAAATAAACCAAACCTGAGCACAGGCAAAATAAAAGTTACTAAATAACTGAAACTCTTTAGTGACTTTTCATTTATATTTGAATTTATTTTACTTAACTAAAAGCATTTTGAAACCCCTAAGTATTTTAAATACTTAGCAGCATACAAAAATAGCATAAAAACAATAAAACAGTATCATAAAAAAGTAAAACAACATGATAAAAGCAGGAGCAGCAAGATCTGGCAAACAGAAGAACATTCCACAGTGCAGAAGCAGTAGCAGAAGTCATTGTCTAAGGCTAGCAGTAAATGCACAGACCTCCACAGTTTCTGGTAGCAGGACTGGCTTCTGTATTTGGTGACTGTCCTAAAACAGAAATCTCAGAAACAGATTGGGAGTGCCTGCAGTGATACTGTTCTGTACACCTCATGGAAGCTTTCTCAGTACATCTGAGAAGGTGTTTTGGAATTCACAGATGAGTAAGAATTATACTATTGTTCTGCAGCACCTACAGCCCTTTTCAGAGGATGAGATTAAGATTCATACCAGGTCTTTGTGTGTCTTTGTGCTGGCCTAGTCAATGCCTACTCCAGCAATTTGCTACTACCTTCTAATGCTTCTTTAGTGTTCTTGGCATTCCAGATATTAAGGCTGGACCACCACCATACCAGTCTTCTGAAGATAGCCTTCCTCCCTGCAAACATGGGTCCTATTTTCTATTGCTTTCTTGGATGGAGGAGAGAATTTTCTCTGAAATTTTCAGAAGGAGGGTTTCACTTTTCTTTCTGAGTGTTAAAAAGAAGTGTAAAAAAAACAAAAACAAGGGAAAGGTGAAAAAGCAGTGGCTACAATACCTTGTAAGGCTAAAAAAAAGGTAAGTGACAAACCCCTGCAGGGGAAAAAAATAGATAATTTTTTCCCAACCTCATGAATTTGGGAAGGTTATGAATGCAGGAACTTGCTTTATATTGAGTCAGACCATTGATCTATGGAGCTCAGTATTGTCTACAGTGGACATCCTTCCAGGGTTTCAGATGGGAGTGATTCCTAGTTCTACCTGGAGATACTGAGACTTTAAGCACGCCAGGTTCTATCTGTTGGATCAATCCATCAACCTCTGTTGGACGATTTAGAACAGGGATGGCCAACTCCTAAGAGACTGCGATCTATTCACAGAATAAAAAACTGGCAGTGATCTACCCCTTTT